CCACTATAGCCACAGATAATGTGAGGGTTACTTACCACTATATCTACAGATAATTTGTGAGTACTTACCACTATAGCCACAGATAATGTAAGGGTACTTACCACTATAGCTACAAAAGGTTCTTGGAACTGCTGATTCAGCATCTGAGTGCCAACATCAATGCCTGATAACCAGCACCCATATCCAGGGTGACTATGATACCATCCAATAGCATTCTCTAATCTACCAACCTGCAAACAACATTGCACTTTCTCAGTGAGTATAAATCGAGCTCTGTCAATATAAATCGAGCTCTGTCAATATAAATCAAGCTCTGTCAAGGCAACAGTATTCCAATCTCTGATATTGAAAGTTGATTACAACTCTCAGTTTTTACTACATACGGTACTATTACACTTTCTAAAGATATTTGTTAAGGTGGCTGCATAAGTGCATGTTCCAGACATGCATTTATGTCTTTTTAGCTGTTATGAAATCACAAAGGAGCAGTTATTGTCTTTCTCACGTTATAGTCACTGTCAGTGCCTGGTGTCGAAGTGAAATTGGTTGATTTATTCTTCCTGTCAGGTTTTTAGTGACTCTGTCAGTTATAAACAATGAAAGATGTAGATAACTTATAATAATACACTGAGGGAAGTATCCAGCATTTTAACTACAAATTTAAAATGATAGTATATCTAGTTATTATTCAGTCACCTCTTACACATGAAACAATGAGATCATTCTCTCATCGTACAAACCAAATGGCCCAATCCACTTGAACATTTTGAAACAAATTAATCAAACATCATGTGTTGTTCATACCAAGTCATGTCGGAGAAATGGTGACATTTTACATTTTAACATAACTGAGAAGAATATTCACTTACCGTACTCGACCGCGTTAGCGCCCAGGGGCCTCAACTCAGAAAATCACGATTTTGTAGGGAATGGGCACCCCCCTCGAAAAAGAGTGCAAATGAAAATTTTGATTCATCAAGTGACAGATTACGTCTTTGAGGGAAAATCAAATTACTAAATTAGTTGCGTCGTCATTGATTTTCACAATGAAGAAACAGAAATGATCACAAAAAATGCACATTTTATTACAATATTAATTACATACCACCATAATTTACGGAATTAAAACATTTGAGTCTGTTGGAACACAGTTGAAGTCAAAATTATTTCCACTGACGAAGTTGTTGGATCGTACGCAAACTCTCGATGAAAATCACTTTCCGCCATGATGCAATTGCAGATTTGACCTACAGCAGTGTCCTTTGATCAAAAGGGTCAAGTTGGTTATTAACTAATCAGAATGCTGTGTTGTACTGATGCAATTCTTCGGAAATTCCCGAAGACTTTCCGGTAACGCAATGCAGAAGTGAATAATCGATGTTGAAGTACGATCTGTTGGAATTGATTTCAGCGAATAAACGACATGGTTTTGCCATGATGCAATTGCAGATTTGACCAACAGCAGTGTCCTTTGATCTAATGGGTCAAATTGGTTATTAACTAATCAGAAAGCTGTGTTGTACTGACGCAATTCTTCGGAAATTCCCGAAGACTTTCCGGTAATGCAATGGGGAAGTGAATAATCGATGTCGAAGTACGATCTGTTGGAA